TGCTGGCAGTGGAAGGAGTAGCTGGCCGGAGCGTGGATGCCCGTGGCGTTGAASGTCGCCTGCGCCGAGTGGTTGTAGAGCAGCTGCAGCCTGTGCAGGCTGAACCAGTGCTGGACGGACAGCTGGTAGGAGCTGGTGGTCAGCAGGAACCTGGAAAAGGTTGTGTGGGAGGAGAGCAGGGTGAGGAAACCATGGGAGAGTTGCAGTTTGTTGAATTTGCGACGTTTCAGGGGTCACCAGCACGAGCGGTTTGTGTCACGGTYTGTGGGGTTTGGAAAAGGGACAAAAAGGCTCTCTCCGAGGGTGGCTCTGGAGTGTCCCTCTCGGGTGACATCCCAACCACACCTGGACACACCGTGTCCCTGCTCCTGGGGACCCTCCCTGGTGATGCCTGATGGTTTTTGCTTTTCCTTTTTACGCTTTCTGTACCCTTTATGTATCCCTTATACCCCTTAGCCTTAGCTAAGCTAATCCCTTAGCAGAAATTACGTTTGTAATTCCTGATATTCCAGCTTAGTTTAGGAATTAGGCAGAGACCAAACATCCTCAGGAAGGGCTCAGGGTACCCTGTGCTATCTTAAACCCGAGCTCAGCCTTGGGTGAAGCCTTTTCTCCAGAACATCTTGTGTAAACTGAGCTCTGGCCTCATCCAGGATTCATTAGAATACGGGGACATTACTGCATTTGTTAATTTTCTTATTGGGAAATCCTAGATAGAAATGCTAATTCCTGAAATCTATAAAACTTGTATCTTATTGGGCAATCCTAGATAGATAAGCTAATTCCTGAAACCTCTAAAACTTGTACCCGTGCTGTACAGGGGTGTGCATTCTGCCATCAAGTTGTGCACCTGGGATCCCAAATCCTGAAGGTAAAACCCTTTTTATCCCCTTAACTGTGTCATTATTAAAAACTGCCCTTTCAAGGCGACACTGGTGATCTTCCCACCCCAAATATCCTGGGATTCTGTGCTTTGAGGCTGTTCCTTGTGGCACCTGAAGGAGTTTGGTTTTCTCCCACAAAAAAAAAACAAAAAAAACCAAAAAAACAGAAGATTATTAAGGGATTCAGCCCAATTAATGAGAAAAATACACATCCAACTTTGGTGTTCTACCTCCACCCAGGGTGGAACATCACTTATCAAGAAATTCTCTTCTCTTCTGGCACCAACACGAAGCAGGGCACAGCCTGACACCTGAGCAGGCCACGCTGCTGGCTCTTCAGACAAAAATTCCCTCATGAAAATGCAAAGTTTTAATTAGCAAGGTTTTAGCTAAAGTCTCAGGCTTGGGAAGATTCTACATAAAACAGACCGAACTTTTCCACGAGTGGAAAAGTCAATGTAGAAGAATAAAATGTCTTAAAAAACAAGGCAGGTAAGAGCTATAAATGCTAAATGCAGGTGTTTCAATTATACAAGAGTTTCTCTCACTTTTTTATTGCTTTAAAAAATTTGCTATAATTCCCCAAGCCACTGTAAAATAAAAATGTATATTAACATGTTATTATCAAGGTTTTTATTCCAAAAACTTACCTGATAACGAGTCCCTTCAGATTGCCAATGTCACCAAACTTCAGTGAAAGCCTAGGTGAAAATGAAATTGACATCAGATCAGAAAAAAAAATCAGGAATCTTCAGAGAATAAAGCAGAGTGGAATATATTCTTGTTGTTAAAAAATAACGTTCTGCCACTTCAAACCTGCATGGAGATTCTTATTGTTCACATAAGAGAAAAAAC